TGCTTGCCTGGATCACCACCAGCATCTGCATCTTCTTACTTCTCTCACACCCCCACCATACCATGCAGAAAGTTCCCTTCCAACATGTAGCTTTTTTGCTCAGATTAAGGATCAACATCCTTCTCAACACAGTATTTAGGAGGGCAAATCGCAAGACACTCATCAGGTCCAATGGGTGTCAAGTCTGGCTTCTTGAACCTCTTTCTAGTTCACTGCACTTTCTAGGACTGTTCTGTCTGGTCAACACCAGTGGATCTGACAGCACTCTGTACCGCACTCAAGTAGCTGAGGTGGCAGACAAGGGCAGTCATCAGCCAAACTCTCTATGAGCAACTGACATAACCCCATCAGAATTAACTGATACAGGCACAGTCCCCTTCCTGCTCCCCTTCTCCTCTGCCTCTTGAAACTCTTGCTCCACCCTCTATAAAGGCTCTCCAGAACCAGCAGTGGCACAGAGGTAAGAACAAGCTCTTGTGCACAAGAACAGGGACAACGGCACAACTCCAGAATCTACAATTGTTTGAAGTTGTTTTCCAGTTTCTCAGTCATAAGGAAGCTATGCCCTCTCTCATGCTAGTGTTTAGGGACATACAGAAGAAGGAAGGGCTTCAAAGAAAACAGGACTTAGGATCTACTCAGCAATTTGAACCATTTCTATGTTAGTTCACTGAGCGTGTGTAGGGGGTGTTTGGGGCTAAGCACTTCAGTTTGTGTGCTGGTGATAGGCAATGGCACATAGCTCCCCAAAAATGAATAGACTTTTAGTGTCTGAACTGTTGAGTCATTCTCCAGTTCCTACCTAAAGGACCCTCAAACATACCCCTCAGCGGCACCAAGCAACGGCAGTTCTCCCTCCAGCTAAACACACAGAAGCATCTGTAGAAAACGAACAAACTCAGACCTGCAGAATCAATCAGATGCCTCAGTCTATCATTACGTGACCTGCTGTCCAGCACACTGCCATCTTGCTGCGCTAGAAATGCCTTGGTTCATCTATCTTGTCTTTGCTTCTGCTGTGCACTTTACAGAATGAAAAAAAAAAAAATACAATACTACAAACCCTGTCAAATCTCTACAACAAGATCTGGATACAAACTTTAGCTAATAAAACACACTGTTCCACAGAGTAGTAACAGAGATCTTCCCATTTTCCCCAGTATTTACATATAGTATTAAAGTGGGTTGGATGCATGCAATTGATATTATCACTCCCATATATCCAGTTTCTCCTGTTTCTGAAAGGGGGTTTGACGTTTCTTTGGGTTATTTTTTGTTTGGTTTGGGTTTGGTTTTTTGTTTGTTTTTAGGCCAGTAAATACATAGAGATATATCATCTAGTATAAGTTCACTTCAGGCAATGTTATTTTGTTGTTAATTAACTGGATTGCAAGTTGGTAGTACCTCTTTAATTAACCGTCTATCACCAGATTCGTCTGCGTTCTGTACACAGTTGGAAGGCATTAGCATATACAATTGCAAAGTAGTTGTGAACAGATCCCTTCTCACACTGGCATAGGAACAGGAACAACTTGACCATCTGATTGTACTCCCAGTTCTATTTAAACTACCACTGACCATTTATTTTTCTGCCTTACGTTCTTTTTTCCCTGTCCACACACCTTCAGGCCTCACCTTGACGTCTCTATGGGCAATGTTCATTGAATGCAGATACTGGATGGCTGTTCCAATGTTTCTCATTATTTCAGAAGCCTCTATAAATACAATTTTAGAGAAAGGTCACATTAACATTCCCACTGTAACTCAGGGACATGCTTGGGAATGCTTATGACTTACAAACAGCTTGCTGGAATACAGGGCTAGCGTCAAGACTAGAAAACCTAAAATTAGCCCCAACAGCTGTGTTTTGGTTTTGCAGACAACCACACTCCCCAATTGCCTGGCTGCTCAGCCCTCCTCCTGAGCAGGCACTGAAACTGAATGGCTGTGACTTCTGCTTTTTATGAGCTTGTAAATTTGTGCTTTAATTTGCTCACCAGAAAAGCAGCAAGAGCAGAGTAGGTACGCAAGCAACATGCAAGACTGTGGAGAAAGAAGCCCCAACCAGGAGGTATCCCTGATTGTCCAAGACAGAAGTTTAACTTTCAGCTTCTAGTTCAGAGGTAAAAATAGAGCAACAGAACAATATAGTAATTTTAGGATAGGTCACATCTTCATTCCTCACTTTCTTTAGAAGCTGTTCCTTGGGAGAAACAAAATCAACGGCTCTATTCTGCAAAGCCCAAACTGACACCTTTGAAATAATATGTTTCTAAAATTTAACATAACCCCCGTGGGAAATTCTAGTGGTAGATGGGCTGCCTTGCAACAGCAGTACTCAAAGTCTGGAAGAGTTGTTACATAGGGAGAGGTTTGAGAGCAGGGAGGAGTGACATTCCTGTTGTACTAAGTGAGCATTATATTACATCTCCATGGACAGGGAAACCAGTATCAACTTCAACCTGACCCTCTGTTTTCTGCAAGATGGATACCTCCGCTGCAGCAGTGAAAGAGAAGGTAAAAATTCTTGTGCTGCAATCTGGAATCCTTTTTCAGATGGCTTGAGATTGAATTTACACAATCTCAGGCAAGGAAAACCAGGAGGCAAAACCCTCATTTTCTTCAGGGAAAATCTTGCACAGCTTCTTCCTTCCTGGCCCAGGCCAAAACCCCTGGCTCCTAACGGGACGTTGTGGCTGATAAATAAACAGCCAGTGAACCTGGGAAATCCAGTGGAACAGGGCTCGTTTATCTCAGGAAAGAATACAGGTGTTTTTTTTGTTTAACATTCTCAGATGATTTCTGAGTAAGTATTTAGAATGTTATAGTGGATTCGCTAATGATCACAGAACCAGTTTTCCCCCTGGAATCTTGTATTTTAGAAAGGAACAAACAAAGTTCCTGAAAATGCTCATTTTTCCTACATGAGTCTCTCACTTAAAGGATTTATCCTAGGCTAGGAAACACAGCAACACAGGATCAAAAAAATCCTGGCCTCTATACCAGACTTGCAAAACAGGTCAGAGTAATTTGAAAGCTCAGGTGTAAATTTTTCTTCTAATAATTTTGTCATGATACCAGTTACAAACACTCCTGAGCAGAAACAAGCTCTTGTCTGTTGTGAATGGGCAAGGAGAACCACAATCAAGAACACCTGCGGTACTCTGTAAATAATAAATAGCAAACATGATAAAAATGGCAAGACCATTCTATTGCAAGCTCTGTCACTAACTCACAGCAGTCTTTAAACTTGCACATAGTTGCTGTTATAGATGAGCAGGCCTGTTTACCATGTGGCTAATAACACTTCCTTTCAAGTAGTATGCTAAAACCCTTGAATAAGCAATGTTTTCTCAAATGTGATTTGCTCATTATAGTCACCACCTCACACTATAGCTGTGCACAGTGATGCTGCTTGAGGGACAGCCAGAAGAGAAACGACAGTAGGAGTTCTTGTTAGAGGTAGTCTGGCAGGAGACCAGGGACTAGAGTAAGAGAGGCTGTGGTGGTTCAGAAATGAAGAAGCTGAGCAGATTTGTATGAAGAATTTTCCCTAAACATTCCACATTGTGCCTGAACTTGGCCAATTCTGATAATTTGTTATATTCAGGAACTTTTAAAAACAACTGTTTGTATTAATACAGAGTTGCATAGAAAACGAAATTTAAAAAAAATTACAAACAACCACCAAATCAAAGAAAAAATCCTGTAAAGGAACTCAGCAAGGGGACAGAGAAAGAGAGAAGCAATCTTTCACAAACTTTAAAATTAAACTTGTCATTTTTCACCTCTCTCAGTGAAAGCTTGATCGCCTCTCTCCTGGATCCTGCTAAACAGCTCTCCTCCTTCCATGCTGAAACAAAGAACACAAAAAAACCCCACCTTACACGAGCAGAAAAGATCAAATAAACACCTGACTGTGCATCCATATAATCACACAGAACCACGGCAGGAACAGATTAGAAGAGATTACAGTCTGCTTCCTATGCCAATGCTTCGTAAACATCACACTTATTTGAATCAATGCACAAAGCCATTCTGATATGGAATAAACAGAACACAAAACAAGACCAAGAAGTTTTGATGCTTTCAGTTTATTGTACCCTGTCAGAAGGAACATGACACTCATAGTTGGGAAGTCACACATGCTGGCACTGGGAGGCTGACAGTAATCTTGTTTTATATAACGGTCGGAGAAGAACAACAAAGAAAGAAGGAAAGAAAGATACTGAAAAGTATTATTAATTTGTTCCCAGTTAAGAAGACAATAACTGTGGTATTGCAGATCACAGAGAGAAGAAGAAAAGTTAAAGAGTCAAAACAGTAGCAAAAAGGATCATTGGGTTTACATCTGAAGTTGGAAGCCAATCACAATCAAAGTGCATAAAATTTATAGAGACATATCTTTCAAGACTGTATTAATTAGTCAATGCTTTAATGAAGACAATTGTCATGGAGTACAAGGAAAATTTATTTTCTGGTTAAGGTTCCTCATTCTTCCATCATACAAGATGACTGTAGCAGCTATACATTTCCCTACCAGTTCCATAAAAACTTTGCTGTGCAAACCAAAATCGTCCTGCTGAGAAAGCCCACCTAACTCTCGGCTAAGCCAACACATTCTCCCACTCCCTCCACCCCCACAAAGAGCAATGCTTGGTGGGGGGCTGCTGCTAGTCCATACCATTCCATGACAATGAGGAGGCATCTCTTTCCATGATGTATATTCTCATAAACATCCAGGACATGGACAATGTGGGGACATCCCGATGCTCGCCAATGATACTCTACTTCCTGACGGGCTTTTGGGTTGTCATACAGGAGCTGTAAAGAAATAGGAGAGCACAACGTTACTGACCAGCATCATTCTGCTTTAAATTGGCACCTACATGTATTTTTGCTCAGAGATGGTGGCAAAGGCTACTCTCAGCACTTTCTCCAGCCGAAGGATGCCAATCCATCACAAGACTTCCATCATCTCTGGGCTGTCCAACTTCCTAGATTGAGGAATATGGAAAAACAACTGGTCCCTTGGAACTGGAAGGATCTCAAGTGGCAGTGAGGAGAGATTTTTGACTCTGAGGTGCAGACAGACATGTCTCACCCAGCTCTGGATGGTAAACAGCAATATTTTTCCTACTTGTTTGCAGTATTTGCAAACAGAGAAGAATCCCTCCGCTAAGGACAATAACCCTCCCACCTGCACCCCAGCTGCTGGGAGAAGAGACTTCTAGGTGCAATGCAAATCCTTAAAGTTCAGTGAGATTTAAGACAACGAGGACTTTCACACGGACTCTGAACGTCTTAAATACTTACACACTTAAATACTACACACATTTCTGACCCCATCAGGGTCAGAAAGGGACCTTTCACTATCTAGATGCTTGAACTTCTTTCTCTGTCACATGCAAGGCCAGTTTATTTTAAAGGCACTAATCTCTAGAGGGGAGGTAAGAGCTCATCTTTCCTGATACTGCAACCTCGTACACAAGAAACGTGTCCCTTCCCACTTGAAGAAGTGCTCTGTACCAGACTGCAGCTGAACTTTTGTGCAACAGGGGCAACATTGCTGAATCATGCCTTTTCTTCTCTGCCTCGTCTCTCTAGACACCACTAACACTTTGTGACAGAGACTCTCTCTTTACTGCACAATTATATGGTTCCTACACAATATAGCTGTGATCTGAGTTTGATACTTTATACTCTATAGTAATAATCACTGTAATGATGAGCAGCAACAAAACTGATGCTATATAAAGCATTGTTGAAGGCATTGAAACAGAATAAAAACCAAACAAAGAGCAATTGCCTGACATTTATTTGCCTTAGAAAAGGACTACAACTGCAGGGGAACTGTTTTCAAACTAACAAACAAAAAGTATCATTGCTGCACTATTAGGCCTTAGCCTGAAGCTCTTCTCACTCACATTTGCTATCAGGTCCCAGTCAAAACACAACTGCATGATAATTGCTGAAAACAAGTATTAATGTGTAACCTGTCATTAGAGACCGATGAATCAGCACAGGAAATGAGATTGCTTTTCCATCCCATTGCCAAGCTAAGGCACAAATGGTGTCACAGGCACCTCTCAATATAGGAGAACGCACGATTTAAAGGTCACAGGAAGGAAGTCGCAAGTTCTGGTTTCTTTATTGCCTCCAGTACAGACAATTTGCATCACTGGAAAAAAAAGCTTACATTTTGCTGCTTCAACATCCCTTTCAGCAAAGCAGACAAAGTAACATGGCAGGAAAGGCTCGTAACACTTTACAAAATGCTGGGCAAATGTTCGGGCACCACTGGACAGCAGGTAAGAGGCTTCTCTTCCAGGCTGGGAACTGGAAAAGAGTGACAAGCACTTCCCTACTAAATGCACATTTTTGTATTTTTGTGAAGCACAGAGAGGTTGCAGGAGGGGATCAGCAGCCTCAGGAGGGCTGCTGGCTCCTTAGCTGAACAGGCAGGGAGCCTCACCACCGTGACCACCCTTCAGGCTCCCTCAGCTCCGCACCAAAGGCTCCAGTATGACACCAGATTTTCAGCAGTGCAAGGGGCTGAAGAAGCTTTCTTGCTGAGTTCAGTGCCCTCGCAGCCAACGTACTTCTTCCACAGTTGCCATTCTGCACCCAGAGCACACCCTTTTGAGATCACTAACTATCCGCCTCTTCCTTCCTGCTCCAGCCTGGCTATGGCCTGATTTCCAACACAAATAACTTCCTAAAGAAAGAGATGGCTCCAATTTGGACAAAAAGCCCAATAGCGAGTCCAAGTGCAGTTACTTTACTTCTTTCAGCCATCAGCCCATTCAGCAGCTTTTCCTTTACAGCCACTGTGTTCTAGCTCAGCAGAACTGTCTATCAGCATTTTCCCCTCTGCCCTTCTGAGTTTGGGCTGTTGCCTAGAGGTCTCTTTAAAAGTTCATTAAATTACATGTGCAACAATAAACCCAAAACACCCTCAGAACTAACCAGGCCATTTAGAAAAACATTACAGGGCTTACTGCTTGGATATTACTGGATTAATGCCACTTTCAAGGAGGATGCTTCAAAAACCTTCTCACTTATCCTGTGCTACTGATCAGACATAACCATTCTCTTTACTAATGTTAACTGCACTATAATCTGTGTATCTTGTGCTTGCACAGTGTGCAGAGATGTTGTTTTTCATGTTTGCACCAAATGCTTATGAAAATTGTTTCACAGAATTGAATTCTCACTCTCTAAAGAGCTTTTACAAGGCATTTTGATATGCACAAGGGTGCTTCAGTTTCTTTTCTCTACCCCTACAAGCAAGTTTCATACGCTCCTTAGTGCCAAGCTTGCATGTACTCGTGTCAAGATGACACCTGGAGAAGCAGAGAAAAGGAAATGCAAAAATAAAGAGCAGATACACATATCAAGCAACATCTGATCTATCAACCAACTGTTAACCTTTGGATTTCTCCTCCTGAGCCTTAAAAATCTTATGTCTGAAACTGGAAGCCATAACTACAACTTTTAAGACATCTTAGAGATGCAGACACCTGACCTGTGAAATGAAAGCCAGGCAGGGTTGAAAGCACCAATTTCTACAAAATTTAGGTGGTGATTTAGAAACACAGACTGAAATTCTAGCCCTATGGTTAAATTTAACAAACCTGCAAGAAACATAAATGGACATTCTGTCATATTCCTGAGCCTGAAGAGAGACTGCTTCTATTGTTGCAACAGCTTTGGTAAGACTACGACCAGGTTCTCCTGACATTCTACAAGTGATGAGGTAGTTATGAACAAACCCAGAGTTTCAGATAAGTTTTCCAGCTCTGCTGGTTCATTCTGGTTTGAAGAAAGAGCAGCTTTGTGAAACAGTATCAGCTCAAGGAGCCCCAGTCATCCCCCTGGAATTCCTATACAGTTCAGCTGAGTCACAGCTTGTACAATGGGCTGTGGGCAGGATCATGAACCACCCGAACCTCAAAACAAGACAAACCCAAGAAACATGCCCCACCTCCCAATTTTTCATGAAGCCAGATCAGTGATCCAATGCACAATGCACAGCAGCCTTTGCATAACAGCGAGAGGTTGCCCATGTGTGTGGTCAGGCAACACAGTTTGGAACAGAAGCTGCACAGTAGAAAACTATTTTTGCTGGAGCTCAGCATTACTGAACCACTGTCTAGAAGAAGCAGATGAAGCAAGTATTAACAGTTATTCACAGGGAGACCACCAAAACCAGAGGCCATGGAAGGCAAGAAAATACAAAAGCTCTAGAGCCCTAACCCCTAGTGATTCACACAACTCTTCTTGATACCTGAAACAGCTGGAGAGGGAAGACAGCTGCACTATGGTGTGTGCTCAGCCTGTTTCTGAGGAACAATGGGCAGATGCCAGCAGACGCTCCAGGATGCCCTGCTAATTCAGGGCCTGGGTGGTGGAGGGAAGCCTGAAGTCTTTCCATTCTGGGGTAATGGCCTAACTCAGGTTAGTGACTGCCTGCAAAACAAACTCTCAACCACAGCTTGGGAGGCCAGCTCTGTGAAATTTCTCCCTGTGCAAAATTTCTTAATAAAAAAAAAAATGGAGACTGAAAAGTGACACAGTATCTTCTAATTGCTTTTCCATTGATTCAGCATTGTGTAAGCAAGGAAGGATAGCAGGAACCCTCACAGCTTAATGGTCTGATCTATACAGGAAATGGCCTTCTGAGGACTCCAGGGAGCAGCAAGCGATTTTTCACACTCTGATGTTGTAACAACAGAGAGAGAAGATATCCATGGGCACGGGGATGAAACAGGCTGAGAACAGGAAGCAATGAATTCTCTGTGACTTCCTCTTTAATATGCACTAGCAGATTACACAGACTATTATTACACCTGCTATCTGTTCCCTACATAGAGGATTAAGACCCGCACATATGCTTTTTTATTTATTTTAAACTTCAGCAATTTCTCCTAGTTCTGAACAGCTGCAGTGCTTGGATTAGAACTGTCACAGGCTCAGTTCTCATCTACTGCATGTGCCACATTAAAGCAGCATCTGATACTGCAAGCATCTTTTACTTATCAGCACCAATTCCAGAATCTGCACTCTCCTTCAATAGGCAATCAGTTTTATAATCTCTGTGCTATTTTCCTCACAGGAAGGCTTCCCATTATTAAAACAGAAACTGGACCAGCAGAAACTTTCAGTCCTAGGGGTCCTCAGCATGTAATACTGATATATAGGCACATAAATACAGCTTTATTTCTTTTTCTGGGAAAAAAAAAAAGTCTCTGCTTAGGCATAAGTGGACAAATGTCTAACTTCTTTTGCTTTCTTTCCTCTTTGCATGTAGCTGTTACAAAAATGCTGAATCCCTACAAATAAGCCTTGGAATCTAAATTCACGCTGATGCACAGAAACTAACACCATTTGCTGCAGAGCAGCTCTTCCAGTCGTTGTTTATTCAAGAGGGGTTGATGGCAAAAGGAGGCTTGGATAATGTTTCTTTTATCTCCTCCCTCCCCTACGCTACAAAAAGAAGAGGGGGAAGGAAAAAGAGCTATCATTATGGCTTTGGACATTTTGTCTTTTATTACATCCTGATTATTTGCACTACATCTATTAATTCAATACTAAGAATCTTTATCTGTTTCCACATCTCTTCACAAGCGATAAAGCCATCCTTTGTGCTAGAATGCTAAAGGAATTGAAATTATCAAGGTTTTTTTCTTCATGATCAGAACTGCCAGTCAGTCAAGCTGCAGCAAGAAGCACGTGTATTTTTGCAGTGGCAGCCCAGCAAGCAGGGAAATCCACACATGCAAATCTTAAAGAAAGCATTGACTTTTTTTCTTAAAATAAAAAAATGGAACACATTTCTGCTCGAATTACT